TTATATAAAATACAACTTTTAAAAAATTTTTTATTAAATATATATATATATATATATATATATATATATATATATTCGTGTGAGCCGGGATAGCGTAGTCGGTATAGCGGCTGGCTACGGGCTGGACGTCCAAGAGGTCAGAGTTCGAGTCCCGGTAGGGTAAACAATTTTCTCTTCATCACGTCATCCAGACCGGTTCTGGGCCCGCCCAACTTCCTATCCAATGGGTACCGGGGGCTCTTTCCCCGGGGGTAAAGTGGCCGGGGCGTGAAGCTGACCACTCACCTCCAACTAGTCTCGAGGTCAAGAAAATGTGGATCTATACATCCACTTCCCCATACGCCTTCATGGTGTAGTGCTTAATTAGTTAAGCACAGGGACAACTTTACATTTTCTTAATACATATTCGTATATTGGTAGGGATTTCGGAGTGGAATGGGGCCCCCATGTTTGTGACTGCTCCGGGTTCCATCCGACCCCTCTCAGGGGCTCTGCCTGCACCATCCAATCCACGTCTGTTTGCGGCTCCCGAAAACATCATACGCCAATTCGGTCACCCTTGAAGTACAGCGTCGACTGTTCAGATAATTGGCGAGTTTGATGGATACGTCCGTGGTCTTATAGAGGTACTATCCTAGCATTTCACTGGACAGACTGAGTAAAATCACGAAAAACTGTCAGGGTTAGGCTGTGTCCCTGATGAGAGTCGAACGATGAACCTCCAGATTGGAGTCTAGACAGTTACAGCTAAGGCAACACGGCATACAGAATGTCACAACCCAGAATCCGTTCCGCAGTGAAGTTCCGGGTGGGTTCTGGCTGTCTTGTGTCATCATCGTCCCCTCTGCACCTCCGTATTAGAGAAAGCTGATGACAGATGGGGCGACGTGCGTATTCTTATTGATATTAGTTTTAACTGCAGCGATATCTGTGAAAGTATAGCGAATTTATTGTACAATACGCGGGAAGAGGAGGCCGAGGTCGCTCTGTTCCTGTTCCACCAACTGGCGCTGTCGTCTTCAAGTAACCTGTCGGCCTTCACCTCAAAATCCACCGTTTTTCCTGCCCACTGGGTAGCAGACATTTCCTGCTGATGCAATGCACAGATGATAAGACAAACATTACTCAATTCTCATTATGTATTCTTCTTCTAACATTGTTTACATTTTATATGGGTCAATTGATGTAGTCTCCAGTTTTTCTCTTCTACTACAGTATTTCTTTACGATTTCTTTCCATGTCTTTCCTCTCTTCTTGATGCCTTCCAGCATCCTGCTAAACCTTCTCCTTACAGGTTGCCCCACACCCCCCCCCCCCCTTTTTTGGTGAAGCCCTTCTGGCATCCTTATTCTATCAATTCTTTCCACTTGGTCAACCCATTGTAGTAGTTTCCTTTCTGATTCCGTCAAATTATGAATTCAAAACTCTTACCTAAAATACAGGGGGGTCCAAAAAAAGTAGTCACTCTTTGATAGTCAATATCTTTGGAACAAAATGACATGTAGTTACAGTTCTTGCGCGGTTGTGTAGTGTAATGTTTTCTCAACAGATGGCGAAGCTCACGAGTCACGTAAGTGTCGTGCCGCGTGCGCGCTGCGAGCAGAAGACAGCAGTAACAATGGCTGAAAGGTTGTTCTTTAAGCAACGCAAGGCTGTATTGAGGTGGTACTGGAAGTACAAAAACATTAAAGAGGTACAACAATGGCAGAATTAGTTTGGAACTCAGCCACCAACACGTCGAACAATTGTCCGTATTCGGGATAAATTTGAAGCCGACGGTACTGTTCATGATGTACATAAGCAAAGATCTGGACGACCACGGATAGTAACAAGTCCAGCTTCCAGTGCTGTGGTGTATATCGATATGCTTCAGACATCGATTTTCCCTGCCATTCGAGAGCTGTTTAGAGATGAGAGATTTTATCTACAACAAGATGGTGCTCCACCTCACTACCATCGAGGTGTCAGGGCGTACTTGGATGTCACTCTACCTGGACGATGGATAGGTCGAAGAGGTGCTACTGAGTACCCACCACAGTCTCCAGACCTAACACCTCTCGACTTCTACCTATGGGGAACCGTGAAAGATAAAGTTTATCGACAAAAGCCAGATACACTGAACGCGCTACGAGAAACCATCGAAGCGTCGTGTGCAGCCATCACACCGGACACACTGACAGCCGTAGTTCGCTCAGCAGTTCGGCGGCATCGACGCTGTTTAGCCGCTGATGGTGGTCATTTCGAACAGATACAATGACTCTCTCTCTCTCCCCGCGCAAGAATTGTAACTACATGTCATTTTGTTCCAAAGATACTGACTATCAAAGAGAGTACATTTTTTGGACCTCTCTGTATATGACATATGCGTTTATTTAAGATTGATCATTTGCGTAAAAATCGACGAAATTCGGTTTGAGCTCCCTGCAAAATAAAATTCCCACTTCACCTTTAAGAATAAGAATCAAATACAAATTACAACTTTTAATATATATCAACAAAATCAAATTTCATCGAAATCCATTTGGTAGTTTCGGAAATAACAGATTTTGACGGAGAAACACACAGCCTGTGAGATTTTAATTTCTCACAGCGGTGACTACGATTAATACTCCATTCTAGGATGTGACGCCGTGTAGTCTGGTGGACGTTTTCCAACGTTTCGGATGGATCGTTTTGCCTCGATCTTCATACTTTTCTTGCTTGTTACATGACTTGTTCTATGAGTATGAAAATGGAAGCAGTATATTCCTTCGAAACGTTGATAAACATCTACTAAACTACACGGCGTCATACACCAGAAGATAGAACACAAGCTCTTACGTGTATATGTAATTTGTATAAAGAACTCGTGGAGCGCGAGTGGAGTTCTCTCCGCTAGCGACCTGTATACATTTCGTGTCAACACAAAAGATACCACATCGTCTTACTCCCAGTAATGCCGTGTGTAGAATCTGCTCGCAAAATCTGAGCGTGTCACTACGTCACGTGCTTTACCGCTTACTTTTACGAGTAACGGCAGAAGCTGGTACATGGCGCACAGCCACAGGCCATTTTGTCTCTTTCGCCCAGTAACAGTTCTCATCCGTCCAGATTTCGTGCGCCTAGTCTGGATGAAGAAACACGTATGCGTACTGAGTCNAAAAAAAAAAAAAAAAAAAAAAAAAAAAAAGGATTTGTGAAGCAAGAAGAGATGGCATTAGCATCCAAATGTCGAGACCTGCCTGCTCTGAGGTGTGTTTGACCTTTCCCTACGACATTCTTTCACCTACGTGAAATATTCATGACGTAGCGGTTTCGCTTCGCATTTGGGGGAACTAGAACCCAACCTCGGTAAATGCTGCTTAGGGAAATTTCAATCTCGATTCAATTCCTTTTACTCCATTTTGGAGCATAGGTTTTCCACGAAGAATCTCCAACGGACTCTGTTCCCAGTCAGGCCCTTGACCTCTCGCCACATCTCTCCTGTTTTCGGGCCGCTTCTTCAACAGTTCTCCGCCAGGTTGTTCTTGGTCTGCCTCTCCTTCTCTGCCCCTGGAGATTCCAGTACAGGACTTGCCTCTCTACTGCACTCTGATTTAGGTAAAGTGTCTTATCCATTCCGGTCTAGAAAAAAAAGATTAACGGCTGTGGGGAATTGTTGCGCTGACCATGTGACATCCTCTATCCGCAAAAGTTGGCACTAACTTCGCCGACAAGCTGCGGCCACTCGGTCGGTATAGTTCCCTTTGAAAATAACTTCATTTTAGTTTATATTTATTTTGCTTTCTACACCGGCTATACGAGTAGCTGCATTTGCTTTCCTGACTCTTGCTCAGGGAAATAGCCGCTGTTTATGCTGAGAATCATATGGAAACCCAATAGATACACTCCGTGGGCCGAATATATAGCAATTCAGTCCGTACCTCACAGGAAACACATTGCGTCTCCGCTACGACGCTCAACCGGTTAATGCTGCTTAGGGAAACCGTCGCTGTTTATTGTGAGAACCATACGGAACATACAGATACACTGTGTGGGCAGAATATATAGCAATTCAGTCCGTACCTCACAGGAAACACATTACGTCTCCGCTACAGAGCCCAACCGGTTAATGCTGTCTAGGGAAACAGTCGCTGTTTACTGTGAGAACCATACGGAATAGACAGATACACTGTGTGGGCAGAATATATAGCAATTCAGTCCGTACCTCACAGGAAACACATTAGGTCTCCGCTACAGAGCCCAACCGGTTAATGCTGTCTAGGGAAACGGTCGCTATTTATTCTGAGAATCATACCGAAACACATAAATACAGGGTGGCCAGAATGCAGAGTTTCTCAATGTTTAAGCAGGTGGTATATATAGTTACCATTCTGCTTTAAAGGGTAAAACATATGTAGTTCTATGACCGAAAGCCTGCATGCAAAAAGGGATTATTTTAATAATTTAAGAACTCACACTTTTCGAAATATGTGCAGTGTTTGTGATGTTCTCTGACAGGCATGGAGAGAAATGGTACAAATTTCGTACCAGAGTGCAGCAGATAATGCTGCAGCCAAGAACTGCCAAGTTGTATGTAAGGCCGATCGAGGAGACTGCAGTGGCATTCGTGAAACGAGCCCGAGATATCAGGAACAGTGACCTTGAAGTGCCAGATGATTTTCTAAATGAGATTCACAAATGGTCATTAGAATGTGAGTATTAACTTTACCGCCTTTTCATTTAATTTATTTAAGAATTACTCAACGACGTTGACTAGCTCAGGCCGTACAGCGTCGAATGGCAGAATGATTGTCCATAAACACACTATTTTTGTGTCCCATGAAAAACTGTATTTATTACACAAAACTCCAGATCTTCAAGAATACAAAACACAGCAAAGGAATTACAAAAATTGAATATTTTGTCTAATAAACTAGAGAAAATGTGGAAAGAAGCAACCACTGTCTAATCTGAAGTTCTATCCGGAATTTGTCTTGAGGGACTGAGGAAAACCACATTTTCATCCACAGTAGGAAGTAATATTTTGTCGGATATGACGCATTGAAGTCTTGTAGAATCTTACCGGAGTTTCGGAGGAACGTACTGTCTCCTCTTCAGAGGGCACCGAACAAGCTTGCTTCCTGGTTGACTTACTCTTCTACCCTGAAGATGGAAGCAATACGTGACTCTGAAAAGTTGATCTTCTATCGGACTATACGGCGTCATATTCCAAAAGAAATTATAAAGCTCCTGTATTGGTCATGGGGTAGTTCATTCGATGTAATCACTAGATTACGAGTTGGAAGACCTACGAATTTGGGTTCGATTCCTGGCAGGGGTAGGAGATTTCTCCCTTCTCCATAGCATCCAGACCGGCTGTGGGACCCATCCAACCTCCAATACAATGGGTACCGGGAATTTTTCCTTGGGGTGAATCGACCGGGACGTGAAGCTGACCACTCAGCTCCGTCTTGAGCCGAGGATAAGAATACATAGAGCTACAACTCCATTCTACCATACTTCTGCATGGCTTGGTGTTTAATTAATTAATTAATTAATTAAAATGTCTAGATAATGTGGGAGCCTCAACGTCTTACAACCCTATGGGCCTTCATTTTTACTTTTACTTTTTTTTTTACTTGTTACTTTTTATAAATTTACCTCTTACCTTTACCTGTCCTGGCCATTATGAGAGTAAAGGGTGTGAGGAAGATGGACATATGGCAAGTACGATTATCTTTTGTTTCTGTCAGTGTCGCTAGTCAAGTGATTAGATGAACGTGTCTTGACAAACTCATAATATGCCACTAATTAACGTCTTTGTAATTTAAATATGACTTATTTAGAGTCAAAATGTAAAAAACATATATTAAACTTCAGGAAGATACAAAGAGCATGGTCTTGTGTGTTGTAACGCCGTGCAGATTGAACACAGCAGTCTGCTTCTGCTGATTTCTTGCTTGGCTTGTACTTCGATTGTGAACATAAAGACAATATGTCCGAAACGTCGGTCGCTGTCCGAATTACATAGGGTTACAGCCCATATAGTCATCACTGTGAGGACATCAAATTGAGATGTTTCGGAAGCACATGCTGCCTATATCCTTAGGATAAACCCTGAAGATAAAGCCAGCATTTGTGTCTATGTCTCGGAATCACAGGCCCAGCATATAGCTCCTAAACATCGGAAACACTGACCACTTCTATAAGGAGCACAGATCCAGGAGCAATAAAATACATGATCCTGTCCCTTCAAGGAACTTCCATATAGCACATATGGATGGATGTAAGTATATTTTTTACCTTTTTTCCCCTGATTTAGCTATTGCCCGGGTGGCATTAGACGTACGCCTGGGATGCATGGATGCACAAGTTTCACCCTCCACATCAGACACTCAGAAATTAATAGATGCCGTCATAACATTCTTTTCAAATGTTGGCGTCCTTGAGCTCAAGTTTCCTTTATGGAAGCTCTTCACCACACCTACATGGAGGAAATACATCAACGCACTCGACACAATCACTAAGTGAGTACAATTGACACTCAAACTGAAATTGTTTTATTTTTGCCCTTCAAATCTTACCAACAAAAAAGCAATCAACATTTCATAATCTCAGCACTGGAGTGTACTGTGTCTACCAACACCAATTTTCTGGAAACTGGATGTGAAGTTAGGGAATAAACTTCAGTTCAAATGTGACTTAGAACAAAACACATTCTGATATCTCTTACCTGCAAGTCAGGTAAACCCATGGAAATGTGTGGTGATAATGCAACACAATATGGTGAATCATAAAAATGAATTATCTCATTTCAGTTCAAAGTGGAGATAGGACACTCCAGCACTCAGGTGACAGTTTGTAAAATAATAAGAAAATGTCAGAGTTGAGGTTCTCACTTCGGTGAGTACAGAGATTACTGTCTTCTGGGATGCGAGACTGTAGAGTCCGGCAGATGGGTATAAACCGCTGCCTCCATCTTCAGACAGTAATCTGCATACCGTAATGTGCACTGGAAATTCAACAGAAAAATCTGACAGTTCCCACTTCTAGCTACTGTTTCCTCAGACACCCCTCCCACTGCTGCACCCTTACACATTGCAGCTCTTGAGGGACACTTTGAAATCATTATGCAAGCTGTGAATGCCATGAAAAGTTCTGAAACGACAGCTTGACAGAAATAGCATAATTCAATTCATTCATTCAATTCATGTTTATTTACGTGCAATAACTTAACAGCACAGTGGCCAATTACAAAGTTAGCACGTGTATATATACAGAAAAATAATTAAAACAAAATACAAATATGACAGAAATAAATCTGTGAGCATAAATCTAAAGAAGACTTATATATATATATACATAAATTTATCAATTAGTATGAATGTTGCTAATACTATTAGCAACTAGAAAATTAATAACAAGCCTAATAAATTAAAACCTATTACATAAGAAAATTAAAGTTAGCCAAGGTATACACATTTGTAGTTAATGAAAACACTAATCCAATAACACTGTAAAAGGTTTGGTACATGCTTGTAAAATATGATTCAGAGAAACCACTCTGCCTGCAAATATGTAGAGATCTTTACTATAATAATAATAATAATAATAATGTTTTAAGGACCTTTTTTTTTTGATGACAGTCAACACTGTAATATCAACTGAACCAATATAGTTTATTGCTGCCATTCTGAATCTATTGTAACTCAGGTTAGTATTGCAGTTGGTTTACATGGAAATAACGTTCTGAAAAACTACTGACATTGCCCTGCTTTTAGACTTTATACAGGAATAGCATATTCCAACTCATATTTGTTTTGTGTATTATAGGTTTTTATAACAATTTTTATTATGAACCCCTGCATTTGAATTAAAAAGAAGGTTCCCAGGGATATATATGCTCTTACCTGTATTCCAAAACAAAGACAGTTACTGGTAGAAATAACGTCTGTGCTAATAGTGTGTTTGTCTGAACAGTCTGTCCATGAAGCACATCAATGCAGCCTTGGAACGTCTGCGGTCAAGCGGACCAGTCCACGTAGACAATGATTCATCCCTTCTGCAGAGAATACTGGCTCTGGATCCTGATCCTAGGACAGCCTGCATCCTAGCAATTGATATGTTCCTTGTGGGCATTGACACAGTAAGATACCACACACACACAGGGCTACCAACAGCCTCAGGAACTCCAAATAGCAGAGACGTACTTAAGAAATTCAGAAAATGTTATGGAACCTGAAAGATTGTTACCATGGTCATAAAAACTCGCCACTGGTCCCTATCCTGAGCCATATGAAACCAGTCCACATCTTCCTATTTCTCTGAGATCAATCTTACCATCATCCCCATTTGCATCTAGGTATTTCTAGTTATCTCTTTCCTTCTGGTTTTCCTGTAACTCTGTATGGACTTCTGTGCTCTCTCATATATGCTATATGCTTTGTCCATTTCATTCTACTTGATTTAATCCTTCTAGTAATATCCAGTATAAATTACGAAACTCTGTGCAGTCTTCTCCATCCTCCTGCCACTTTCTCTCCCTTAGGTCTCAAATATTCCCATCAGCACCGTGTTATCAAGCATTCTATGTCAATGTTCTTCCTTCCATAGGTCTCACAGAAATAAAATATTTACTTTCATTGTATTACTATAAGGTGAAGCTATCCTTGCAACAGGCTGTGAAGGCCCATAAGGGCGTGAGAGGTCAAGGCTTCCAAATCTTCCAAACAGTCAGCTCATAGATGGTGGTAAGGTTGTCAGCCTTATGCACAGGCTGCCTTTACCCCCAGGAAGATTCCTGGTACTCATTTCTGATAAGAGTCTGGGTCAATCCTAGGGCCGTTGTGTAGCTGGAAGGGTTAGGTCAACTGAAAAAATCCAAGTAACTAACTGATTGAGACATGGAGTGGCCAAAGAAATGGTATAGCTTATGGGCTGGCATCTCACTGCTGAGCCTTGGGTACAATCATGGCTAACTTCATGTGAGATTAATGGTGGACAAAGGGACACTGGAGCAGGTTTTCCTTTGAAAACCACCATTCCATTATTCCTCCCTCCATTTTCTAGTGGGGTGGGACTAAGTCCCTTGTACTGCGGCCACTTCTGGCCTACTGTACCAGCCCCAGATGATAGGTAATGGTGATTGTGGAGCAATTAGTGGAATGAAGATTGGCAGGGGAAACCAAAGTACTTGGAGAAAACCTTCCCCAGCGCCACTTCGTCCACCACAAATCCCACTTGACCAGACCCGGGAACAAACCTGGGCTGCTGCGGTGGGAAGCCAGCGACTAACTGCTCGAGCTATGGCGCGGCCTGTCGTTCCTCCATACTCACTTATCACCAGTCCCCTGTGATGTGACAGCCCTCACCAGGCAGCACATTGCCAATATTTCCAAAGCTGGGGGCTTCATCTTTGCCGCTTGGCTGTAAGGAAGTTCAGATTGAGCACAAAAAATACACCTTCTTGTTCCAGAATGCTTGTTCACAAGGTTTTGATTTGGAGCTTAAAGTTCAGAAAGCTTACTGATTTGGCATAAAAGGGGTCAATAAATGGTCTATATTGATATATGTGGCAATTTTCACTTCAAATGGTTAAGATACCAATTATCATTATGCTTTAATTCTAGAATTATTTCATTATTCAAAAACAAAATGGAATATATTCTTTCCAGTCCTGCATTTACAGCATCATAACTGATTTTGTGGTACACTCCACCCTTCATCCTTCCTAAGGCTGGCCTTGGTAACACACTGCAAGTACTGAAGGATATATAAATATGTGTACATAATTTAAAATCATGCAGGGCTAAATAATTCAATGATTATTACATATTTTTCATTTTATGTGCATACAGACGTCCACAGCAGTGGCATCCATCTTATACCAGCTGTCACAACATCCAGAGAAGCAAGAAATCTTGTATGATGAAATCCGGACAATTCTGCCGTCTCCCAACACAACCCTAACAGCTGAGCGCCTGGAACAACTAAATTACCTCAAAGCATGCATTAAGGAGACACTAAGGTACTTTAAAAGCACTGCTACCAACACAAGAATACATTTCCAATTAATGGAACATCAAGCAACCAAGCCAGTTCCACTTAATACCATCAATGCACATCTCTCCATTTCAGGATGTACCCAGTTGTAATTGGCAATGGAAGGTTACTGACAAGAGATACTGTCATAGCAGGATACCAAATACCAAAGGGAGTAAGACTACACTTTATAGTCACCGCTGTGAAAACCTCAAATCTTACACAATTTTACACATTGTCGTAATTTCAGTTATTTTATATAAATCATACATAGCTAATTCCTGATACATGGACTTTCAGACACAGGTGGTATTCCAGCATTATGTGATCAGCAACCTGGAACATTACTTCCCAAAGCCTGAGCAATTCCTACCAGAGAGATGGCTTAAAATCTGCAATGAGCACAAGCAAGCACAAAACCATCACCCCTTTGCTTCACTTCCTTTTGGCTATGGTCGAAGGATGTGTCTAGGACGCCGCTTTGCAGATCTAGAGATTCAGACAGTAATTGCTAAGGTTGGGCTTCATGTTATTTTTGAATACTGACTCAAGCTTTTAACACCAGATGTGCACAGATGCTTTTCAAAACAAAGGGATGAATTATTATTTCCTTTCAATTATGTATTTTTGACATGCATACAATAAAATGCTTAAAAAAGGCTATTAGTTTTTCCATGCCTCTTCTGTCTGTTTGTAAGAAGTGGAGAAATGGTGAAGAGATTTTCATGAGATATATTGTGGAGTTTTGCTAAATTAACTGTCACATTCCAATTCTGGATAAAATCAGACAGCAATACTGAATACTTTAGATGTGTTTCTGCATGCAACTTTTGCATATCAGAGTATCTGTTGAGCAAAAAATTGTTTCATACAAAAGTTGAAGAGAAAATGAAATGCAGACTTCATGCTCAATACATTTTTGTTCTGTAAATTTGAGAGTTTATTATGAGATAACAAGAGGGAAAATGTATTAGAACTGTTATGATACACATAAATTTCCTAACTTGTTTTGTTTGTACCAGACATTCATTAATCAACAGATGTAATTTTCTTTATGATATTAACAAACTCTGTGGAATAGTCCTTCTTGGGAAACTAACAGTCAGTCCTTTAGCCAAGAAATCTCTTGCTTTTACAGAATACAAATGTGTGCATAAAAGCCTACCTTCATGCCACTAAACAACAAAATTATTGCGTGATTTGAGGTTCTTAAGAGTCAGGCGCCTTCCAAGCGTGACACTGCTTGTTTTCATAGATAGGTGCAGTTTTGGAGGAACTTGCTGCCTGCTTCTTCAAGGTATAACCATTCAGATGGCTGTGTGGGAAAATAAAGGTACAAATACTGGGGAAATGAATTGGGGCTATGAGCAGCCTGGTACGAAACTGTGGCAAACATCACATGACTGAATTCTTGTTATGAAATTTACATTCTGTGACATACATTTTTCACTTCCCTACTATGAAGTTCATATTCATTTAAATAAGTACAAAAATATGAATGAAATAATATGCACTATCAATTCTATGGAAAATCAAAGGTTATAGTATTTATGTATTAATTTATGCATTCTTTTCCCCCCAGATGATCCAGACATTCAGAATCGAGTACCATCATGAAAAATTGCAGTATCGCATTCATCCCATGTACACACCAGATGGTCCTTTAAGGTTCCGGCTCATAGAGAGGGAGTGATTCATGCTTTATATTAAATACAAATATTTAATGTTTCCATTCAGAAATATCAACACCTCACTTCAATGCTGAAGGAGTGAAGAAAGAGGCTCATTAATAACCCATACAGTTCATGGTACAGAATAATTCAATTTCAGAACAATCCACTTTCATCTCAGGCATGAATTATTTGTTTCTGACCTTCTTCAGCCATGCACTGCATTACTTCAATGGCACATGTGCACAGTCCATATTAGTGAGCACTGAATCGGCCAGTCAAGTGCTTGAACACACATATAATTTTTCTCAGGAATTTATTTTGTCTGCAAGGAAGTAAAATAATATGTAAAATTTTTAATTTCTGGGGGTGCTGATTTGTTCTTTTGTTGGTTCATACATCAGTTTGGATTAACATGAGTTTGCATTACCAAGGTTCCACTTTATATATATAAATATAACTGTTATGTTTCTTCACTATCTGCCACACATCTAACAGAGAACATCCAAAGATACAAATTATAAATCACTCCGTCCAATGTGACCTGTAAGTTTTTTACTACGTAAAAACTTAACACCCTTACATGTTTCGGTCTCTGTGGACCATCTTCAGAGGGCAAACATCACTACAAATAGGAAACCACTATCACATAATTTGTTTACACGCAAAGTATGTACACTTATATGTTACAACACACAGTACACAGAATAGAACGTTTCACAAACACAGCAGTTTGGTCCACAGAGACCGAAACAGGTAAGGGTGTTAAGTTTTTACGTAGTAAAAAACTTACAGGTCACATTGGACGGAGTGATTTATAATTTGTAATTGTTATCGTGACGGACCAGAATGAAACAAATCAAACTCATCCAAAGATACATATAATGAAATTTACCTTGTTCTCTTGCGCATATATGTGTGATAACCATGGGTGCTGAAGCAAAGTGCATGTATTGTGGCAGTTTTTTGGTGTAATTTGAAACCTCATTCCCAATGATTTCTTCTTTAATTACATGAGTAAACTTCAATCTCTCAATCCAAGCATTATTCCTTCTGTAAAGTTTTGGTCACTATATACTGTCATTTTTTTTTTATTTTGCATAGTTGGGTCCACTTGGCACGGCAGCCACTGATTAGCCTTTTGTACCTGCCCTGGGTGATTATGATGAAGAATTTGGTGGAATGAAGATTGGCAGGAGAAACCAAAGTACTCAGAGAAAACCTGCCCCAGCGCCACTTTGTCCACCACAAATCCCACTTGACCAGACCCAGCTTTGAACTCAGGCTGCTGCAGTGGGAAGCCAGCAACTAACCACTTGAGCTATGGCATGGCCAAAAATATACTGTCATACTGACGGGTAAAGCGGTTAAATCCTAGATGAATATCAGACACTTCTAACTGCCAAAAATAAAAAAAGTACAATAAAATGTCAGAAAAATATGAACCAGTAACCAAAAGACAGAAGCAGAACCAACTGCTGGGGCACTGTATATGTGAAACACCTCACATAATGGACGATGTCCAACATAGTATCAGTATAATGAATCAGAAGTCATCATAATCCTTCAGAGAACAATTCAAGTGTTCTCAAAAATATATTGAAATACAAAATAAATACAAATTCTTAAGCATTAATTACATTTTAAAGTTACAAAAATTAATGTGACCTTTCAACATTGCATCACCAATCACATTCAATGTTTAACAGTTTTAAACATAAATATTTCCCTGTACTTAAAACCAGCATTCACTGAGATAAAGAATCATGTCATTGCGATGCCACTTCTATAATATTTCTGAAGAAATGTACAACTAATAGTTTACATTGCAATGGAACTCAGATATTGAGTTTCTTAAGAACACATGCAGAAAAATGGCACATCTGTACAAGTTCCTATTATTAGATAACAGAACATGTGACAATACAGCCCAAAGATTGTTCAATAGAATTAAAAGAATAAGTCTCTGTGATCAGGGATTGAGATATAACTTCAAGATAACCATTTGTAGCAAAGGTTCTCTTGTTTTTACTCGAACTCCCAACATTATTCATGCAACAGACCTTTAGAAACATTATGCACAATAAAATATAAATAAGTACTTACAACTCTGGTTAAGTGAAGGCACATTGTATTTTTGGAATGTTATAAATCACTGCTAAATTGAAGATATGAGTAACGATAATGCAAGAGAGGGACTAAATATGAACAGTGATACCCCCATTTCATGTTTCTTTGGGGACCAGTGGATTTGAAACAATGAAATGAGCAAAATCTGAAATGCTAGAAATTTAACATTGAGATTGCTGAATGTGGGGCATAGAAACTGAGTCTTTCCTCTTGTGGGCTCTTTCACAACACTGCCAATATCTGGAAAATATAGTGACAAATGAAGGAAGTGAGTGTGGCCTGGGGTACTATCCCAGCCTTCGCCTTCAGAGACTGACAAAAACCAGGAAAAAGTTCAATCAGGATATCCAGTGTCCCAGCTGAGATATGAATTGACCATATCGTGAATACATGTCTAAAGCATTATCATTAGGCCAATGTTTACAGTTAAAACTGAGGACTAAAAGAGAAAAAACGTTAGAAGAACAATGAATGGATGTTCTACTGTTCTCCATATGACTGTGCATTTGCACATCTACTTTGCACCAGTTCAGTGTACACAGTATTGTATCACTCACATTTTATGCGTTTTTTACTGGTGAAAAATTCAGACGCGTCTTAAATTTGAAGAATGTGCACCTTTTTAATTTTTTTCCTTAAAGCCCACATTCAAAAACTGGATGCTCCTTAACACTTCACTTCACTTAACTTTAAATATTTAAATCACCCTGTGGACCGGCATTTTTAAACCTACTACCCTAACTTGTGCACTGTTCACTTTAAAAATTAATTTAAAATCTCCTAATTAATTTTATGAACTAAAATTTTTGGAGAACACTTACTAATGCTCATAGAAGTGCTTGGGAGTGTGATATTTCTGGAAACATTCCCCTTTGTGAAGTGGCATTACAGAGAACTTGCACATGTAGACAGTCACACTCCTTTTTCTGTGTACTGCGCAAACATGGCATCGCCTAGAAGGCTGCTTCCCCTTGGCATGTTCACTCTTCACAATTTTCATGAGGGTGAAAAAAAAATATGCCACCAGTCCATAAAGTGTTAAAAATGAGGGCCTTATATTCGAAGTAATACGGTATTTACTATAAAACCAGATAAAAAAAATAATCTAAAAATAAACACCAAAATTATACATAAATTCTGCAACTAAGTAATTAAACCTGAATAACTTTCTCTTGGTGCAAGTCATGGCAGGATGGCAGTCTTAACATCACCCTTTCCTATCCTATCAGAAGGCATCTAACATCTTAACCTGTACACACAGTTCTGCTCTTAGAAGCCTTCTGTCATTGGTTTTATGAATTTGCAACCACATTAGAATAGCATGCTGAGTTTCACATATCTCCTCTCTACATACATGGACATCTCTTCTAGTAGTCTGTGTATAGGAACAACATATGGCAAGAGTTTTATGTTTTCCCTTACAAGTGTGTCTTTTTCTTACATTTTTGCACAAATTAATTTGAAGCTGATAGGAATGGAGTCAGGAATAACATGGATGGGAAACGGTTAATGCAAATACCGGGTGTCCAGATGAAAGGTATCCAAAATAAAAAAAAAAAAAAAGTTATCTCGGAAAGTAATTGTCATACATGCATCCAGTTTATGCCATCGAAAAGGAAAATTCTGAAAGTCTTTTTTTCACGCCCAGCTTATGCGCATGTGCCACCACATTTATGCCACCATGTTAGGAATCACCTGGATGGCTGGGATATGAATTGGCAGAGACCAATCACTTGACCTCCTAGGTCACCAGATTTAACACAAGTGGATTTTTTTGTGGGGTTATGTGAAGAGCATTGTCTGCCAGGTTAAGATCTACAACCTTCAGCACCTAAAAGCCTGCGTAAGGGCCGCTGTGGCTACGGTAACAGCAAATATGCTGGATCGTCTGGATATTTGTCATGCCACCAAGGGACCCCACGTTGAAATTTATTGAGAAGTTGTACACTCAGAAAAAGCTTTGACAGTTTCCTTTTGCAGTGGTGTAACTCATAAATGTATATAATAAATGTTTTCTGAGATATAATTATTTTATTTTGGATACCTTTCTGGACACCCTTTATACTACCTGAAAGGAAATCAACATAACTCCTCCTTCACTGGTGAACTGTGATTAAAAAACGACAGTTGCTGCAACTCCTGAGATTCAATGGTTAATATCAACGTGTCCCTGTATATTATTGCCATTGTCTAGCCCATAAGAAGAGCAGACATACCTGGTGGAAAATCGCTAGTGCTAGAATAGCACATAAACCAATATATTCACACTGATACTTTCAACAAAAAAGGGATAAAAATATTATTAGCTGGAAAATGTATGACAAAAAAATTGTTTTGATTAATTAGGACTAGTACTATACACGTCAACATTGGAAACATGAGAACTACACTACTGTCTTCTTGGAAGAATCATTTACCTACTCTGGTATATCAATTCCGAGCTTTCAGATTTATTATGGTGTCGGTATCCACATTATACAGCACTGAATGGTAGATCTGATGAATTGGAAAGGATCTGGAAGAGAGCAGTCCATGATCTTACTGAGGTACCTTCTTGCCATGTGGCTGGAGGAACTGACGGAAACCATATCAAACTGTTGTCAGGATAGCTCGCATCCTGGCCAAGACTCAAACACAAATAGAAATCTGGAATATCACTGCTACACCAGGCTATACACTAGTGTTTCTTGAGCTCTGATCCTGAACACTGTACTTTAGTACTGTGTTGTATTTTGTCACTGTTTCACAGACTTTACTAGGTTCTTCTTTATGTTGGATCTCTGTAATGCTATTCCGTTGTACCTGTCTTAGAGCAACAGGTGATTCCAACATTCACATATAGAAAAATAAAAGTAAGCTCCAACATGTAAAAACAACAAAATAACACAAAACTAAGATCTGATCCATCTAAAAAATTACACAACCCATAACAAATTTTTAAACATAAAAAAATACATTTCTCTATTTTTAACATTACAGCAATATATACACACACTAAAGTGGAAAATGCTTCAGCAGGTAATAAAGAAAATATGTCACCTAGTATTAATAGTAATATTGTATTGTAGTGTGATACTGTGTATGGAATATTTTATTCATTTTCAGTCTCAAATATGTGTGTAATTCCAGAATAACTACATAGTTTGATTTCAAATAGTTCAAAGAGCTTTCTATATTAACTTAATTAAAACCAAATAGTTTTAAAACACACATGCAAAACTGACAGATGTTTGTACTATGAATAATGCATACCCTTCAAAATACTAGGACAAAGGTTTTTTTTCCTTGGCACTACAGCCCCAGTGGGCCTAGGCCTACCTCCATGAACTTCTCCGTTCACGGTAGGACTCCGTGGGCGAGTGATCAGCTCGTCACAAGGCCTCTACCTGTAGACAAACAGAAAAACGCACACAAACATCCATGCCCTGAGTGGGATTCGAACCCACGATCCCGGCTTCCGAGCGAGCGAAGACAGTGCATACCTTAGACCGCTCAGCTACCGTGACAGGCTGGACAAAGGTTTATAAGGTATAATTTACAGTTCTTAAGCCTGTAACTAAACAACAATTTGCCCTTCCCCTAATTGTAAAAATGGGCTAATGAAGAGGGAATAGCAGGGAGAGTTGAGAGTGACTGTAGAAGTACTACCTGATGTCCTTGCACTTAATTAAGCACTACACCATGAAGGTATAACAGGGAGTGGATGTATAGATCCACATTTTCTTGTCCTCAGCACTAGTTCAAGGTGCGTGGTCTGCTTCAAGCCCCGGCCACTTTACCCCTGGGAAAAGAGCCCCAAGGGGCCTAAGAGCTGGTGTGGACGATGCAGAGAAGAGATAATTTTTTACCCTACCAGGACTCAAACTCTGACCTCTTGGTCATCAAGTCTGTAGCCAGTTGCTATACCGACTGCACTACCATAGCTCCACGATAGCCAAAACATGTCATAAAATTAGAAACTGTATAGCTATCTTAAAATTATATATATATTGAGATGAAAACTCAGTAAAAAAAATCACTTTTTCTTTGGCAAGGAACTAACTAACAAACACGGAAAATTCTTTTTTGCAAGAGTGGTAACATTAATGCTGACCTCAAAATTGGAAGGAAGTTACAACCCACAACAGGGGTTCAAGAAACTTCTCTCTTATTTTCAAACGGAACTGTCTAGAAATTGGTGACATTCTAATAAGGCTGCAATTCCATGTAAAGGAAAAGCCTTATACATGCCAACGAACTGTCCGAAGGTATGAATGAAAAGCAACACTTTTACATTACACTCTACAGACACAATAAAATAACTCATATGAAAGAAGCTTCAGAAACAATATATAGAGATCACTGCCTTCTGTGATGTGATGCCGCATGGTCTGATTGACTATTCTCAATGTTTCAGAGGAATCTACTACCTCCATCTTCAGGGCAGGAGACTAAGCCAAGCTGCAGAAACTGGTACGAATACAGAGCACAGGACTACAGCCTCCCTCTCCCTGTATCTGTACCACTTCTTGCCATGCTCGGCTTACTCTTCTACCCTGAAGATGAAGGCATCAGATGCATCCGTAACAACAGTAACAATTCAACAGACCAGAGCAATCTCTAATCTCACGAATTACAGTAAACCCTCGCTAATCCAGATTAATTGTGGGGGAAAGTCATCTGGATATAGCGATAATCCGTAATAATGAAGCAAAAGATAGCGCTAAAAGACAAAAGAAAAGAAACTTAGAAAACAAATCAACAGAAATATAATAATATGGGCAATGCTGATGAAAATAAATAAAAAACATCACTGCAGCCATTTCTTCCTCTGTCAGAAGCTGAAATCCAGGTCCTCCTTCATCCAGCTCAAACCAATCTTGGATTGCGTGGTTTCAGTCTCTCTGGTTGCCCTCAACACAGTCTGAAAGTCCTCTTGCTTTTAAATCCCATATATCTTTTAAAGTATCTACTCAACTGTGAAGAGAATTTTTCACATTTCGATCAGGATTATACCACATCTGGATTAACTGTAATGAGATTAGTGAGGGCTTACTGTATATATGAACTGGATATAACAACATAACCAGAACATATTTCTGCAGGAGCATTTTCCATTTGTAAACATGTTAAACTTATGGTAGCCAGTAACACTTATTGAGCTGTCAGCAGTCAATATGAAGTTCAAAATATTGCAGCTGTACCATGACATCACCTCAATACACGTTTCTGTATAATACTTCAATGAACTAACAGAACATTTTTAATTCAGGTTAAAATAACGGAGAAAATAATTTATTACAGTAAGAGAAACTTTCACAATAAAGGAAAGAGACTGAGATCTTACCAGAATAACTGTTCTCATATGCACAACAGATAATTTATAACGCAGAAATATTTATGCACATGTATACTAACTTACAGTCGGATCAGTGAAAGGATGAACACATTCAATAATGCAGACCCTGCAGTGGAACATTTCACATTTGTGTACTGTTTAATTTCCTGTCATTGTAGGAATCATGTGACCTTGTAATGAAAACGCTAGTGATATGTGCATAGGATTTTGACATTTTACAGACAAATGAAGAAAATCAAGACGGTGATGGTGTGAAATATTTTGGTCTGATGACATCAGATCGCTTGATATAACATGTATAGTAACAAATGCATGGAGGCAGTGTGCTACTGCAGGCGCACGTAAGCCACACTTAGCGTCTTAACTGATAATATGGTTGTGATATTCTTCAAGAATTCCTCAAAGAAGGCCCTTGAAATGTGCTCATTTACAATACTGAAGTGTGTGTATTCACAATGTAATAACATTACTTTCTCCGTTAAAAACTTGAACAAATAAAAATAATAATACACTTACATATGAATAAGCGGCCTCCGTAGTCTAGAGGTAACGTTCCCACCTCATGACTCGTAGTACGCGGGTTCAAATACCCAGCGGAGGTCATCGAATTTTTAAGGGCGGAAAAATTCAGGGAACAAGTCCTCTGGGAGGGACTTTAAGCCGTGGGTCCCGTGTCATAGCTTTACGGCATGTAAAAGAACCTCATATCTCCAAAGGAGGTCACTGAGCCAAATTAACGGACGTTTCCCGCCCAACAGCAGTCTCTAATACCTCTGGTAGATGGGGGAAGCATTAGATACCTCTCAGCTAGTAGAGCCGGTCTCGCTGGCTGGGTGGGACTGATGGTAAGCACCAGTACCGGTAGGATATAGAGACTGGTAGAAATCATAGAGGGAAGCACAATGGACCAATACTGGTCTCAGTGCATGGGGAAACCCACCCTCTCCAATAACTAACTAACTAACTAACTACATATGAATAAATGTTTCTGGACCTTTACAGTGTTAACATTTTTGTTTCATCTAATATAAAATCCCTAATATTTTATGCACTATTATGTATGAGATTACACGTTCTTCAAATTGTCATGTACTTGGCGGCAAGTCTTTCCACAAAACCTATATTTTTCAAAATCCTAGCACATCATTAATATCAGAAGATCACACAACAACAAAATTTCATGTTTATTTCTTCATGGAGGCAATTCAGTAATTTGATATTCAGGTTATGGTAATCAAAACTCTTATAAACGTGGAGCCAAAAGGCATAAACTTTGTAAGAAACAACACTCCCACAACTCTGAAATGCTCAAATTGAAAGGAACTTCAATTCTAAGCAAATATTCTTCGATACTTCTTATATATCGACGCTTATAAAACAGAAATGACAATAGACCAAGGAAATACACACACTTCATCAGGAACCCAATCTAGTATTAGCTGTACATAGACCATTAAATAATGGAATATGAACTCAATCACAAGCATCTTTTAGCTAAAGGGAAAAGGGTTAACTATCCCTGTAACAGGCTGTGGAGGCCCACAGGCTTGTGAGACGTCAAGGCACCCACATTTTCTAGACAATCAGTTCACACACAGCAGCGAGGTTGTCAGCCTTATGTGCCAGACGTCCTTTAACCCTCCCAGGAAGATTCCTGGTACTCATGCCTGTTAGAGGCTGAGTCGACCCCCGGGCCATAGTGAGGCTGGAAGTATTAGTTCATCATTTTTCAAATGATAAAGAATATCTCTTAATCATCCCTCACATTTACTGTTATAGAGGGAGGGGGGGACCCTATTTTACAACCAGCTCTCCCTAAACAATTCTGACAGAGGTGTTTTGGGTTGTGGTGGTGGACACCAACCAACATTTCAATGGAACACAAGGTGCATCCATCTTCAGACTAGAAGACTACACCTTGAAACTGAATGTGGAGGCAGCATGCTCATCTGCAGTGATGGCAAGGATTTACCAGATTACACTGCGTCACATCCCATAAAACAATTATTTCCTGAAACAAGCTTTATCTCAAAAAAATTTCCTATTTGGAGATACCAAAATAACATACTGAGCCATGTCCATCTCTGAAACAATCTCCTGTGGTCACTAAAATAATTCTGTTGACAAACAGTAATTTATTTTAGGAATACTGGATTTCTGTCCATCCATCACCCAGTATCTGAACAACGCACATAGACCAGAAACCAAAACTACCATACATGAAAGATATGAGCAGCAAAACCCCTCACAACTACGAAATGGTTTGGTTCGCACTGTATATGAAAAACTAAATATTCAGACTTAACAAAAGGCCATTATGGATTCCTACTAATTGACCTGTTTTCAGTACAAAGTATGTCTTTTGGCATATTACTGTAAACAGAAGATACACAGAGCAGAACTGCAAGTGACATGCAACGAATAAATTAAGCGTAGCACATTACACAGCACGCTAAGTGTCGATTGGCACAGCCCATGGATGTGAAACACGGCCATACTGGATGTCTGTGAGTGTCTGTCGGAACTTTGCGTAAATTGGGTACTTGTGTCTCTCTGTAGGAATATGGAGCGTCTCACCCCTGTATGATATTGATGCAACAGGACTCACCACACAAGCTGTTCCAGCACCAAACAATTCCAGCAACTGCAAACAAGGTACATCTCAGCTTGAAGACTATAAGAGGTGACAGTCATTCTTTTCAGAGTCTTAAACCTTCAAAGCCTGAAATTCATCTAAATAATGATTAAAATTAAGTTTGTACCTCAAAGGGAATACAGCATCGCCACAACGACCAACCCTTTAATGCTGTTTATGGAAATATTTACTGTTTATCATCACAATCACATAAAAACTCTGGACTTTTTTTTATATTAAAGCAGCTGGTAATTATAGTTACCACTGTCCTTTAAAGGGATAACTATTTCCATGAAGCAAAATGTTTAAGAAGCTAATAATCAATCAGTCAAGAAATTGCCCACCTTTTACAGAATCTGAAAGTTCCTCATGTCCATAAGAACCAGCTGTACCAAATGAAACCACACTCTCATACCTTCTTGTTTAAATTAATTTTATATTACCCTTCCCTTGACATCTAATCCCCCCACTTATCCCTTCCTCCAGATCTTTCATCAATTTCACACACACGCACGCACACACACACACTCTACATAACCTGCTCATCAAATCCTCTTATTTTGAACATCCTAACAATATCTGGCAAAGAGAACAAATAAAGCTTCCTCATTATGCAGCCCCTTCTATTACTTCCTTCTCCTAAGATCCAAATAACCTCTTCAGTGCCCTGCTCCCAGACAGTCTCAATCTATGTTCTACCCTCAATATAAGAGAAAAAGCTACACACCCATAAAAAAATAAGAATCAAGTAAAATTAGTGTTTTATATATTTTAAACTTTACATTTTTAGACAGCAGATGGGAACATACAGAATTCTCATGTACATAACTTCATCTTCTGCATTCTGCATGAGTTGGAATACTTCCTTTTCACCATGAACACTGTTCCTATTTCTTATTTCTCCTTAGATGTCATATATGAGTACTAGTATGTAAATATTTTGAAATTATTTCTCACATAGAGTTAGACCAAGCACAGGGCAGTGATGTGAACAGTGAACCTACCCTGTTCTCACTAAGCAGATGCACAACTTCAGACATTGGTATGCTGCGCTCTGACACACGGAATTCATTCCATTCACGTGACAACTCGAGAATGGATGCCCTTGTGATGCCCGGGAGGATCAACCCATCCAGGGGTGGTGTTATGAGCTCCCTCTCTGAGAGAAATAATACAAAATTCATAACCTCAGACATTCAACCTGAAAGCCTCTTTCAGAATCTGGATCACTGACTGCCATACTTGTGAGAAAATTCTAACATGTTAAGCATTTGTTACCTTGAATATAATATTTTAATTGAAGAGGAAAATGCAATATACACATATTCAATGATATAAAAACAAGAATTACTTAATCTTGGATCTGAGATTCTCAGTTATGATTATGAAGAGTACCATCTTCTGCAATGTGATCTGTGTAGTTCAGTAGAAGTCTGCTGATGTTTCAGAAAAATATACTGCCTCCATCTTCAGGGTCAAAGAATATATGAAGCCTACAATCAACACATGGGCATCCCAGGAGATAGTACTCTATGAGGATTATTAAAATCTGTTTATTACATGGTGTTTTCAACAGTTCTGGTTATACAGCATCAAATGATGGGATAATTAATGAATAATGAAAGATTTAGGATACAGAAAGAAGCTGTTGTGGCTAAATCTCTGGTATATTCCTTGTTTTTCCATGGAGAGACTGAGGAAAACTCATCTCATAGTTCTACTATTTTTCTTCTCCAAAAAAGGCTATCACAGCAATGTTGGGATATGGCAACAGAGTTTCATGTAGAAACATGTTTAAAGAGCTATATATTTTATCATTTGCATCACAATATATATCTTCATTGTTAGTATTTTTATTACAAAATAAAGTTCTTTTTCCATCAAACATTGATTCTCATACTATTGATACTAGACAAAGGCAAGATTTGTATCTACCGCAAGCTAATTTAACTAGTTATCAAAAAGGAGTTTATTATGCGGGTATAAAAATATTCAGTAAATTGCCCATAGAGATCAAGAACGCAACTAATAAGTTTAAAAAGTTTAAGGTTGTATTAAGGCATTTCTTGAACACTCATACGTTTTATACTGTGGATGAATATCTAAATAGGTAACTTTTATTGTTGCTGTATTCATTGTACTGTCTAGTTGTGTAATAACTATGTATGTATTCTATGCTCTATATTATTTTATGAGATGTTCTATATCTATCTTTGGGATCTCTTGAACTTAACAATAAATACAAATACAAACTCAACACAACAAAGCCTTACTCAGTCTAAAACATCTTCTGATAATGTCATCACCAGAAAGTGATATGGATCATTATGGCGTCATTAGAGATCACACTCTATTCTGAACATCTGCAGGGTATCAAAACTGCAATATTGGAGGTCCTGAACATACGGGACTTTTATCTATATATGGTTGCCTACTCTGATAAGGGGTAGACAACGCTGAATGACAAACACTTCAGTGATCTGAACTCCACCTTTAGAATCAAAGATGAAAGGATAGCTTTATCAACTTTAATAGAGGTTTCTGTGTTTTGTTACTGCAAATACCACTATAGTGAACCCACTATTAAAGGTTTCTTTGGACAGCAGTGAATCTGAATACTGGAAAGTGGATTCAGGTAGCTGACTTAAAATAATTCAGGTTGAATACAGAATGGGGGAGGACCTTAAATCGTGGAATATTAACCTTTAAACGCTGGACTTCTGAAATGGTGGTAAGCTGGAGCTGACCGGGGTTTATTTAAATGCCTGCTGCTGGTGCGTGTTAAAATGTCTGTTCCTGTTAGGGCATTGTTTTAAGCAATGTGTTTAAAAATGCAGTATCTAACTCAATTTTTATGATAAATGGATGGAATTAACTTTGCTTGTATCAGCAAAGAACATAGTGTCGCATATTACAACGGAAGATTTGAAAATATTTAGACAAAGAGTTATACTCTATTTTCAATTTTTTTCTTTTAATATTGATGCATACTGCAAAAAGGGTTTCCCAGTTCTTCACAGATCTGTTCTGCATTATAAATTCATTTCTGTTTGTAACACTTGACAAATTTTAGCAGTAACTGGTGCCATAAAACAGATGGAAGCAATAAAATCATTTGGTCTTCTGCTAGCACTGCTTACACTCTTTGGATTTTCGAATCTTTTGACTAAAGGACAGAAGAATGACAGAATGACTATTCAAGAGAAAGCTAGAGGGGTCCCTTCTTCAGTGCTCAGACCTTCCGTTATAGCTGCAAGAGATTATTGCCCTTTCTAGGTTCATGAACGGAGAGTTGCATTGTGGCTGAGATACAGAGTGCCATCTGTTTTCTGTTTGTTCATAGTGAAATCGAATACTGTAGTTTCATTTCTGCCTATATATACATCAAACAGATAACAACAAAAAAGGTATGTACATCGAATTTTACTATATATTTTTAACACATTAATCTGCAGAATCTGCAATAAAAGTACTGGCTCGTGGATAGTTTGGGCATAACTCATACGTATATTCTTTTTTGCTGTTGTTCGCTTAGGTATCATTTTAATTCCTCTATTATGGTTTTACTCCAGTCTGTCTGGTAATTACTATATTTAAAAATAAATATTTAGGACTGTGCATGCACTTCTATTAGCGGCGTGTGCGCATGCTTCCACTAGTGGAGTTTAAATGCCCGACTGGCCAAAACCTGGTACTTTGGCCACGACAACTATACTCATCACTGGCCCAATCGGGGCACTTCGGCCGTTAAA